CTTCTTGACATTTGAGCCGCTGTCCTTTGGGCCTCCTGTGCTTCTTGGGCCTGTTGGGTCTGTGTTAGAGTAGTGGGAGTCTGTGGACCGGGGGTCCGTGGTCCATATACTCCATCAATATTGTTCATGTAGTGCGTCATTTGCTCTATATCTTGTCAAGGGGGCACTCCCGTACTACTTGCTAGATGTTGTATGGATGCTAGGTACGTCAAGGATGCCACAAAATTATTATTTTCCCATGGGGGCTGATCCAATCTTGAAATCCTATACAAATGCATATGTTTTTTGAAATATTGACAGAAGAGATTCTGCTTCAATATATCTCTACTCATTTGTGGGGGCTATTTCATGGATTTCAAGATTTTAGAAGTATGTCTCTTTATGTGTTTGAGAAGTAGATACATTGTTGCAACTACAAACGATAAATATATGTGATGGGTTAAGGAACCCGGGTGTACTAGTAAACCAGAGGGAAATTAGAGCAAATTTAGAGTGTTGAAGTCTGCAATAAATTTGGGATAATAATAATACAAGAATTTATAGAAAATATACAAGGATTGATCGAGCATTAATCCTGAAGTGATAAGCTAGTGGGGGAGCAACACATGATGTATGATGGCGTCACCCTCTGAAAATAGTTTGGTGATGTCAGCCCTTAATAAACTTGGCATATGACGTTAACGAAGGCGGAAGTGATGCAAGCCCTCAAAATACAAATATCTGAAACGCCAAGGAATTGGCTAAATTCAAAACTGTAATCGAGCCAAGTCGGGACAGGCCCGCTTGGTCTCATCTGATAGCGTTTGTGCAATATCCTTTGTGGCAGTCATCGAGCTCGACCTCAATAGGGTATCTTGGCCTGGAGTGGAATGGACCTGCAAGTGTGGAGCTGGGCCTATGATGAGATCCCTAACTCGACGCAAGGCATCAACCCACTAGATAAATGACTTGGACCTGGGGTATATGACAATATACTCCATCCAAATGACATGACTAAATAGTTATTTCCAAGGAATTGAATTCAAATGAAGGAGTACAAGGTTATTGAAATGCGACGGTGCATATTGAAATACTGAAATGCGACGATGCATATTGATAAATTCTTTTCACAAGGGTTATGCCTGTATGTGTATTTTATTTATTGAGGTTATAGTAATGCATTGTCAGACATTGTTTTTATAGATTCTTCGAGTAGGGACAAAATCGGGAAATCAAAGAAGGTGTCGTATCCAGAGAGAGTTCACGAACCGATTTAACTCATAAAACCAACTTGATTAAAAATGACGAATTTTATCTTTATATTCTCGACCTTTATACGATTGAAGTTTTGGTTGATAAGGGCCGAATATTTAATATAGTCATCTCACTTCATCCCTTCTATCTAAAGATAATGCCCCATAGCATGAAAGGCCAATCAGATATATTTTCTCTTTTTCCCGAATCTCTTTCAATCTCAACCGGAGTAGAAGAAGATTAATTTTCAACATTAGAAATACTTTGGTGCTCGCTAGTACCTTCACTTTGTACACCACTAGCGGCAGTAGTCAGTCTAAAGAAAGAATGCAAAGTTGTTTTGGTTTTCTTTAAAGGAGGTTGTTGAGTGGCCATAATCTCGTCTTTCAGGTAGTTTTTTTTAAATCATTACAAAATAATGAATTGAAATAAAATGAAATATTACGAGAATAATTTTGTATTCAACAAACACAAACATATCACAAGAATATATGATTACAAACTGACAATATATTTACACAAAAAATGAAAACTCTTACAATTTACGAAAGAGTAGATTAAAAATAGACTGCACGGTTCACAAATATATACAACTGTCCCTAATCCATGGAACAATGAGGATATTTTTACTTGCACTGTTTTCAGTCCCAGACCAGACCAGACCAGACTTGGACAGTTATAAAATACACAAAGTAGAGATATTTATTAGACCAGACCAGAAAATTTCAGTTCAAGTAAAAACATCATGAGAGAGATTTAATGAGAAGAGGATGGCATTGTGGAGCTATATCCACCGGTGGCCGGTGTCTCTGCTGATTTTGTTGTTGAGCACTTTCTTGCGCCTCATCACCGTTGTATGCAAATATCCGATTCAATGTCCGACTGTCAGGCTGTCAGGAAAAAGAGCGAAGGGGACAAGTAGTCGATTTAGACTCTAGTACTCCACTAAGGCCTAAGGGTTAATTTTTTAAAAAATTGACCATCGTATGATTGCTTGACTAATTAAGTTTTCTTATGTCCGAATTTGGTTCCAAAAGACTACCACTCGTTCATATGTTGTCAAGTATAATTCTAGATATTTGCAGGGCAATTATCTCTCACAATCTTCACTTATATAAAAGAAATCATTGGGGAAGGAGGAAGTGTTATTGATGGAAATGTGCCATTGGGGAAGGGGCGACAGGGTGCCTATGGCTGAGGGTTGGTGTCAATGTACGTCATGAGCGATGTGTTCCTAGCGGCCCGGTGTAACACTGGATGACTGTAAAAGAATTTCATTATCAAGGATCAATATTGGCTCAAGAGGTATATATATATATATATATATATATATATATATATATATATATATATATATATTATAGTAACTTTTTGAATCTTTAAAAATAATAATTATTATCCATATCTTTCTCTTGAGTATCATTTAAGTCAAAACTTCTTTCAACAATTTTAACTTTGTCTTGCATGATCAACATAAATCGGAAGAGTGTTGTAAATAGAAATAAACTAGTGTTTGTACCCGTGTATTGCACAATAAAATATGTGTTTTAACTTTTTATTAAAATTGCAGGACAGGGAATTGTATGTGAATTTGCCAATAAGAGTTCTAAAGAGAATTCAACTAGATTATGGATAAAAACTGTCAGAATGAGTCAAAGCCCACAAGCTAGCCCATGTCATCCCGTTTAATGATGGGTTAGAATTATCTTTTTTATCCTGATGAATTCGCCAGTTTCACGGGTCAACCTGCGTGGGTTACAGGATAAGTGGGTTGACATATGCACGTTGCGAATTTTCCAAAAAAAAAATATCTATTTTTGAATTTCATTGTCTTCAACATTGATTGTTTACTATCAAAATTATTCTCAAACATTCTTATTATTTTACAAACTTTCTTGAACTATTATTTCTATTATAATTAATTAAATAAGTTACTCCAGAATACGTTTTATGTTATAGTTGAAAATAGTTTTTTAATAAATAATAATCATTATTCACAATATTTTCTCAAAAAAATCATCATATCTCTGTTTTGTACAATAAGTGTTTTTGCTAGATACCATTTAACACTTATCAAATTTTAATATAACAATGATTTAATAATATTGTCATTTACACTTATCAAGTTTTTTTTTAATTAAAACAACATATGATAATATATTATAATATAATATTGGAATACATAAGAGTGAAGTTTTGGAAGTTGAATAGCTTTTCATCATTTATGATGTTGTCACGTGTCATTTTTCTCTACAAAAATGTTGCCACGTGTGAATAATTTATCCAATATTTTAGTCACTGGAATAAAGTAAACCATGTAATCTAGATCTCATCTTCCTTGCATGACGGTGATTCATGAGTAAGTTGCCTTAATGTTGGTCTAGAAGAAATTAGTTCTACCCGTTGTCGAATAAATCAAAACAAACTTCTTAACATCAAACAAGAACACACTATAAAAATGACGCAGAATAAGCGCACATCTGATTGACGGCGAGCTGCCGCCGAATACAAATCTACAAACTTTGCTAGGTAAGAAACATGCATGATGAATTGAAAATACAGGATAATGCGATATATTTTTCATATTCAGAAACAAAGGAAAATTTTGAAAGGGGAAAAAATGAGGCGGTGGCCATGATTCGTTCCCGATCACCGCCCCTCTCATATCTTGCATGAGTTACGAATTAAGTATTCCCATTTGCTTATATCATGTGTCCGAGCATCTTTAGCAAAAAGAATTTGATATACATTAATACATTTCAGTGATCAATCAACTCATTTAATATAACATCTTTTGAAGGCAATATGGGTGTTAAAACAAAAATTAATTATTTAAAAATTAAATACATCGTACTTTTTGAACGACATGACAAAATTTAGAGGAAATGTATTAGTCGGGATTATTTCATTGTCAAACGAAGGTTGATATAATCAACGATGGATTAACAAGAAAACCAACATAAATTTTTGAAATGAAAAAAGTTTGAAAACATGTAAAACAAAATGTATCGTGAGAGTGTTTGAAAATGATTCCGCTTTTACTTTTTTTTTTTAAAAACAATAGAAGAATCATTTTTCATAACCTGGTCTCTCTCAATTTCTAAAAAACTACTTATATGAGCAATTTGAAACACCCAGACGTATTTATGCACTTTCACACAAACCACCAAAATCCAATCACCCCTATATTTCCTCACATCCAAAACACAATTAAACCTTGAGTTTTGCTAGAGTACGGAGAAGGGGAAAGTGGGTCGGACGACCCACTTTGGAGTGCTATGCTCTATGGATTCGTCCGACCCACTTTCCCCTTCTCCGTCCGTCAGGTCATGGAGGACGGCCTTTCTTACCCCGAGGGACGAAACACTGACCTCACCCCGTTCGTACCCCTTTGTGATTCACAAAAGCCCAACACATTAAGTGAATCTATCCATTTTAATAAATAAAGTGTCATAGCAATTCATTAAAATGGGTAGAAAATGGGGTAAAATGGGGTAGCAATAGCATTGTTATCTAACCGTGAATACCCGCACAGGTAGCTCAGTTGGTTCAGTGGTGGGAAATTTGGACCAAATGACCAAGGTTCGAAACTCGAAGCGACCGTGTGTAGGTCACAGAACCTGAAATAAGGCTGAACCTCTGATGCGCACGGGAAAAAGACCTACCGGGCCCACTGGGTCGGGGTACGGGGGCTCCTGGGTGGGAGACACTTTTGGACCAAATCTAACCGTGAATAACTAGCCCCGCGGCACCGCCTGTGGCCGGCTGACGGTATGGGCACTTCCGCCTCGGGTGTCATTGTCATCGGGCTTCATCAAGTTTTTTCTTTTTCTAGCTAATTTTCCAAAAGGCAGGGAAAAACATTCTTGCCTGAAGTTCTGAACAGCGGGACAAGGAGTGCTATGCTCTATGGATTCGTCCGACCCACTTTCCCCTTCTCCGTCCGTCAGGTCATGGAGGACGGCCTTTCTTACCCTGAGGGACGAAACACTGACCTCACCACCGCCCTCCAATGTCGTCCACCTGCTTCAAAATCTCATCCTGTCTCAATCAAATGATCTGATCAAGGTGTCCGCCGACTTGGCTCCTCACGAGGTGTTAATTTCTTCACCGTTTTCTGTACTTTCTTTTTGCCCCTTATGCTATCCAGCTGTTTATGCTATCAGACTGTGGCTTCTGGAACTTAGTGTCTTCCGTTTCTGGTTCTTTAGGTCACTTCTGACTTGCTGTTTCTGATGGATTTGGCTCAAAGCATCTCCATTTCTGATGCATGTAATATTGTAGACACCTATATGCAGCTCTCCCACTTGGTAAGTAGTGCTGGCAACAAGACATTTCATTCAAATTTTAATATTTTTTTTCATAGTACAAACAATTCAATTATCCCAGTGTACTACATATATAGTAAGTATCTGTTATTACTTGCATGCCACTACTTGAAGAGGTTGCACCTTACTAATTTAGTGGACAATCCATCATACTATCTGGTGTATATGCTACGGTTATAATATACTTGGCTTGAATCACTTTCTTTCTTAGATGATTCTATTCGTAAGGTTGTCTTCTTTTGTTTAACCTTCTATTCTGCTTGAACGGTTCATTACAAATGTGCAGATTTGCTTCTAATTAACATTTCATATTTTTTCACGTGTGTACTATAGGATTTCACGTGCCTGTAACTTATTTATTTTTATTGGATAACATTCTATACCTATTTTTACCTTTTAATTTAAAGTTTAAAAGTTGAGTGCTATTAATACCATTCTTTCCTCGCTTTTGCAGGTTTACACTGTCAGCAACTTCGTTCATCTTAAAATAAGCCATAGTTGTTCGCCTCTTGTGCTTGACTTCTTAAGCAGTACAGTAGAAATTCTTTTCAATAAAACTAAGACAGACAAGGCTTTTATTAGCGATGCTGCTATAGTTACATCCACAAAACAGTGTCTGGAGATAGCAAAGTATGTTCTTCTTCTTGCCTCATTTTTTTCGTGCTGGAACTTGTATGAGCAACACTAACTTTGTTCTGCTCCAAAGTACATGCATCCTTTAGTTATCAACATTCTCTTTTTGTTTGAAAATTTTATTCCGCAACTGATTCTCTTTACTTGCAAGTTTCAACTACTCAATATTGGCATTCTTTTATTGTTCGGCTAATGTTTCCCATTTTTTTATACAGACGCCTTTTCAATGTTAGTGAGAGAGCAACCATGTTATTGGAAAACAAGCAACTATTAGATTTCACTCTTAATGTTGTTGTTCACTTTCAACCACAGTTGCATGATTCACTTTATTCTAGCGACAAGATTTTATCTCGAAATGCTAGTGTGTGGGAAGTTCAGATCGTTGCTTTCTCAATGATTGGTGATGTTTACTCAAGAGTTGGATCTTGTTTACCTGTTGATGTTTGGGAATCAACAATCGGGGTATGCACACTGGCTTATACTGATTTTTTGTTTCTATTAACGTGTCAACTTAGGTTTAATTTACATGGTTCAGGTTGTTAGAAGCAGTCTAGATCTCTTGGCATCTAAAGGAACTTTGGTCGAAGACAATGTTATGGCAATGTGTTCTCTCTTCTCTTTGATTAAAGTTTAATCCAACTTGAATGTCACATGCTTATATCTGTTCAATGCTAAGATTTTCATATCTAATCTGCAGGTTTTACACCTCATTGCTGAATTGCCTGCATTTTGTTCTTGAAGATCCAAAAGGACCATTGTCAGGTCATGTAAGAAAATTGATTTCTCTATATCAATAAATAACTTGTAAACTTTATTTTATTTTTCCAGACCAGACCATTTAGATTTCAAATAATCTATACTTTAATTTTAGAAATTGGCAAATAGTCGATCTTGAAGTGTTTTATAGTATCTTAGTGAAAAGAATGAAACTTTGAAAGAAATTTATAAAGCTGAAGTTGGAAGAAAGACCCTCTATTGGTCAAGGTAGCCGGTAGGAAGTGGCGTCAATGCAGCTGCAAGTAGGTAGGTAATGGTTGTAAACATAACTATATGCATGTGAAATTTGTTTAATAAGAGAGTGTAGGATAATGGACCTTTATTTCATATGCATTTCAATCTACCACAATCAACAAAGACACATCACACACATAGCACATACACACTACTAGGCTAAGTTGTTAAATTGTTACTAGGTAGCTACTCAGTCAAAGGCCGAGTGACGATTATGACCGATTACTCGAGAATGGACTCGGTGACTACTTGGCCTTGTATGGGTAATACTAAAGTATGTATGCTACACATTCCTAATAATATTAATCCTATATATTGATAGAAACCAGAATATCACAGTAGAAAAGTAGAATATTATTGATGAAGATTTCATCAATGAAGATTTCAAAGATTGAACTGGATTACAATGGCGTAGACAGAAAAATAGAGAAGAACGGATACTGTTGAGACTGTTCGAGTAGTCTCCCACTCCCAAGCCTAATCCCAGATCCCAAATTTCTGCCTGCCCTCTTATTCTACTCCACTCCTATTTATAATAAAATTCCCTAATGGGCCGGCCCAAGCTAACAGTACCTAGCCCAAAACCCTTATTTATACAATATCACACCCCTTAGTATAAATCTACTATTATTATTATTGGAAGTCCATGTCCCTATCATATCTCCCCCCTTGAAAAACCACCTTGTCCTCATCCTGAGTGATAGGAAACAACCTTGATCTTCAAATTCATCTTCATCCTGGCACCTCTACCTTCCCAGTATCTCACTGATTTCAGAGCGAGGAGCTTCAGTACTTGACCCTTCATCTTTATGTTCTTCACCTTAGGATTTTCACGCCATCCACGCAATTCCTGCAGCATACTGCGGCCATCCGCTTGGAGGATTATTCCTTCAGGTTGCTCTAAAACTTCCAGAGCATCAAAGAGAGGAATCACTGGCAGGCAATCATCTTGAGTTTGACCCTTCAGAAAATGTTTCTCTCCTCTCCACGAGATCGGTGATGTATCCGAGCTCAAAGGGGATCTGCCAAAGGAAATACATAATTTCTAAAATTTCAGCATTTGCACTCCAAGAGATTCCATACATAGGTCCTGAGATCCCACCTTTACTTCACCTTTCACAAGAGACTCATCCGTTACTGCCCGTACAACATCTACTTCATGATTATAAACTAGGTTAATCCTGATATTAGTAACATTTTCATCCCATTGCCACTTATCTCTCTCAGAAAGTACTCTTAAAGAGTTCCTAACCTCATCCCTATATTTTCCAGGAATGAATTTTGAGAACAAGAATTCATTGCTATCATTTGTCAAATGAGGTGTTTTCCTATCATCTTTGCATTTTCCAGCCAGAGGCATGAGAGCAAGAGAAATAACAGAACTCTGGAAATTTCCTATCATTTTGGTAGCAACATACCGAACACCATGGATAGAAACTTGAGGCACTTCTGATGCCAGACGTTCTGCTTGTCCTCCATATTTGCCAGGGTCACTAGGAAAACCATCCGACAGAAGCCTTGGCTCTGAAGATCTACAAGAGCCGTACTTGCCATTGAATAGCGGCAACTCAACCTCTCTCCTGACTCGACTAGGTCCTTGGTTCATGTATATCTCGCTTTTGTTGTCTGTTATCTGCGAACTGAGAACATCTCCTGTTGATTGCTTCACACTTGGAGGCGAACTGACATAAACTGTTGGCGTTGGAAGAATGTCAACTTTGCTCTGTTCGGAAGGTGTTGGTGCAGCCGGCTTCAACTCAGTTTTCAATTCCGGAGAAACTTGCGCAAGTTGAGAACTGGTGACTTCAGATTGCCATAAATTTGACGAATTAGGAGAAGTTGCTTGCAGAAACCCCTGAGAATTGGAAACTACTGTGAGCGACGAAGCTGAAGCAGTTTGCGATGACATCAGCGAACGGGAAACTTCTCTGGATAACGTCGTACTTGGTCGTGAACTGCTGACAGATGATGAAAATCGTGATTTCGAAATGTAAGATGAAGTTAGCGAAGAAGCCAGACAACTGGAAGGAAGTGCTCGCGACTGAGAAGAGACCTGTGCACCCAATGATGCCTGCGAACTACGCAAAGCAGTTCGCGATTGCGAACTAGGAAGAGCAACGGTCGAAGAAACCTGATTTTCAGTTGGCCGACGGCGTCTCGGAGGACTCCTCGCTCGGCCTCTAATTCTCCTACGACGCTGTTTACGCAAATGGTGTATCATCTCGTCCAGCATCGTTTCCATCTTCGTCCAGGTGCGATTCTCCATATTTTTTGTTGTTGCGTGAATGTCAATCGAAGCTTCCCAGGGCCTACTGCTTTGATACCAATGATAGAAACAAGAATATCACAGTAGAAAAGTAGAATATTATTGATGAAGATTTCATCAATGAAGATTTCAAAGATCGAATTGGATTACAATGGCGTAGACAGAAAAATAGAGAAGAACGGATACTGTTGAGACTGTTCGAGTAGTCTCCCACTCCCAAGCCTAATCCCAGATCCCAAATTTCTGCCTGCCCTCTTATTCTACTCCACTCCTATTTATAATAAAATTCCCTAATGGGCCGGCCCAAGCTAACAGTACCTAGCCCAAAACCCTTATTTATACAATATCACACCCCTTAGTATAAATCTACTATTATTATTATTGGAAGTCCATGTCCCTATCATATATCTAACGCCAAAAGCAATAAAGATTCCATAAAAGGGAAAATAGTACCGGAAAGGCAGTTTTGAAAGTGCAGAAGTACTTCTAAGTGCTCCAAATTGCTCTTAGAAGCAGCTTTTAGCAGCTGGGGGAGCCAACTTCTGAAAAACTGATTCCGAATCTACTCCTGCTTTTAAAAAGAAGCAGAAGCAGAATCAATTTTAAGCACTCCCATTATCCTTTATAGTTAGAGCTTCATTTTGCTTCCTTTGGCAATAGCAGTGGCGAGTGGGACGAAGAAGAATTAAGAAAGTAAACCGCATATCAGCAGCCACCGACAAGATAGATAAGTTGGTGACTCATATAACATTTTAGAAGTAATAACTCGACTAGTCGAGATATTTGAGGTAAATATATAGTTGGTCTGCTTATAACTCCTGCAGTTAGAGTTTTCTCGCTGTCTGAAACTTCTCCCCTAGCAGAAATCGAAAAAAATGGAAGGTTGCTGGAGAGATGAAGCTATTTGGAAAGTTTAACTGAAAAAGATTGTGATACATGGCAACACGCGCCAACCCATAAGTACCGTGTTGCCACTGGTGGGCAGCACATGACTGTGGCTATGATCACTGGACCAAGTGCGTAACGATTGACTTAGTCCCCATTAGACTATTGGTACCCGCAGTTTGATAAACGCTTGCATCCGAAAAAAATAATGTGATGTTTATGGTTCAGATGCAGAATACAATATCTTTCATGACTTCACACATGGATAAGTTTCAAGAAATCGGGGCATAAAACTTGTTTTGATGCATATTCAAGAATAGAGCGTCGACTAATTGAACTTCATATCTTATTTATTACTCCCTCCGCCCTGAATTAATTGTCTTCTTTTCCTTTTTGGGATGTCCCAAAATAATCGTCTTCTTTTTTCTTTTGACAATAATATGTGGCTCATATCAATTCACCTTTTCTCTACTCAAATCTCAACCACAACTTTTGCCTTTTCAACCACTTTCTTAAAACTTGTGCTAAAGCAAACAAGACAATTATTTCGGGATGGAGGGAGTGCTATTTACCACTTTCACTAAGATTCACATCACATACCACACTTATATATGTGTTTCTAGACTCACCTAGAGTATGTCAGAGTACTCCAGACTCCAGAGACATGGATAATTCAGAGCGACTCATATTTTTCTGTACCACTTATTTGAACAAAATTCAAGAAAGAAAACATTTTCCACTATTCATCGTACTAGTGTACTATTTCACACACAATTGGTCATTTTTGGTAATGGAATCTGGTTTCTGTAATGCCAGTTAACTCATCGTGTAGTTGGGGCAATTATTAGTTCATTTCTCATTTTGCAGGTGGATGGTTTTGTAGCGGCTCTTAGGATGTTTCTCCATTATGGCATCAGTATCAAACCAAATTCTGCATATCCAGTTGTTGATCACAATATTTCTGGATATAAGAAACAGAGCTTCTCGGAACCTATGAAACCATACAGGCCTCCACACCTGCGAAATAAGAACTTCAAAAAGCATAACCAGATGGATGATGAATCTCATAGCTCTTCTGAAAGACATAATTTTTTGACGGGTTATCAGTCATCATCTGATTCAGAAAACAGTGATAGCGATGGATTAGGAAAAGACAGTTGCTATGTTCGATATGCTAAGACTCGACTGGCTGCAATTCTGTGCATTCAAGTAGGTCAATGCAAACTCATTCTTTTACCCAAGTCTGCTATCCAGTTTTTCAAGAGTTGTCTACTCTCTTGTGTAACTGACCTATTTGTGAAACTTGAAGTCCCATTATGGCTTTATATCCTTTTGGTTCAATTTTTTTGTTTCCACCTTCGGTGTTGCATGGTGATGTATCAATGTGTCATAACTGTAATATTGAATCACACTTGTCAATAAAGTTTGAATTGTGAAAAGCTAATGCATGTAATGGGTTTGGTTTATCTTGATGGAATAGTGAGGTTAAGGACGTCCTATGTACCTATGTGCACTTCTTAGCTCTTATTGAATCACTTTGTGAGACCGAGTCATGTACTATGAAATACTATTGTATTAACTGTTGGGTTTAACTGGAAGGATCTTTGTCGAGCTGATCCAAAATCATTTACAACCCAATGGATAAACCTCTTGCCATCCAATGATGTTCTACAGCCAAGGTGTGCCATTTGCTTCTTCGTTATATATATTATTGAATTGTAGATTTTACTGACAATAACTAGGTTTACTTGCCCCCTACCATCCTGTCTATAAAATGCACAATTTTAAATCCTCCATGTGCATCCTCTTTTATTGTTCATTAGATTTATATACCTTCCAATATCGTTTTTGCAGGAGGTATGCAGCGACACTAATGAGTTGCTTACTGTTTGATCCATATATGAAGGTATTTTTTTTGTTTGCACAGTTCACATATCCTATTAGCATAATTTTGGAACCTGGAAAGTGTTAGATAATGGGAAAAAGATACTTAGGAAAATGATTTTTATGTTTCTTTAGCCTTGGAAAATATGAAGGAGAATCAGATTTGATTGAAACCTGTTAAGACTTCACATGATAATTTGATATTTCTTAGTCTTTTTTTTTATATTTCTTAGTCTTTATATAATAGCAATTTATAAGAAATGAGTTTGAACAAATATGTAAAATTGATTTACTAAATCTGAACCTAATTAAAATTTTCACCAAAGGTTTCTTTCCTTCGTAACCCTCCTGTTTTCTCTATAATTTTCTTTCACTAGATCTTCCAGGTTCCAAATGGGCCCTTAGTGTCATCCTTTTTCGCAAAGATTCCCTTCTATACACATGGTCTGATTGTCCACTTTAAAAACATTTTGTAGCAACTTAGCTCAATCAAACAATCCCAATATAGTCAAGGTTGAAAAAGATTTATCATCATCTTCACTGTAATGAGAAACGTACCTTAATGGCATCAGGAAAAAACCAAGGGGTTGCTTATTCTTTGAGCCTTGCTTGAAGCAGTGTTTTAAAAGGTGCTATTTCGGTGGCGGACATGGTCGCAATATCTAGAGGTCTAGGAGAGGATTAGTTGGTGCCTATGATATATATGTATATAAATAATAAATGTTTTTTCCTAAACCTTTTGTAAATTTGATTCTATTCAATATTTGAATTCAAATATATAGTTGTTTTAATATTTATGTTATAATAAAATATAGTTTAAGAAATCACATAATAAAGTACAACAGTTCATCTTCACGTGATAGATGATCCAAACGTCTCTATTTTTATGCTTAAAGTGCAAATTCATGTCATTTTTATCTCAGGAAGCTTAATAAAACTAATCTGCTAATATTGTAGCCAACATTTCACATAAGCTCCAGCGGTTGCGTTCTTCTATTTTTGGTAAATCATGAGACATATACACCTTTTGTCAGAATACTTGTTGACACAAAGAACTTGTTCTTGCTTAGGCCCGAATTGCTTCTGCCTCAACTATTAGGGCAATGTTGGATGCACCTTCCTGCGTTTTTCTCCAGGTGGCAGAATTCAAGGAATCCCCAAGATCTGTGGCCTTTACCACTCTTTCAAGCTCTCTTGGACATATATTAATGCAACTACATACAGGTATGCAATCATATTTTACCAATTCAATATGCTTTCCACTTTTTGCCGACTTCAATGAAGGTGCAGCTTTCTGTATTGCTGTTTGAAGTGTGTTCCTTGTAGTTTTCTTCCGGCTTTTACTATTTTTTTTATTATCTACCTGTAGGTATTTTATACTTGATAAAAAACGAAACACATAGTGGGTTGCTGATATCCTTGTTCAAAATCCAGATGCTCTTGGCATCATGCACTCCGTAAGAGTCTGCCTCATTCATGTGTTTACTATTTTCTTGCATAATACGGAGTAGTTATTAGTTATTACTACAGGCAGGAAAAGAATGTTGGAATGATTAAAAAGAAGTTGAAAATGTTAGTCAAATTTTTCTGGGTAAAAGTTAATATCATCCCATCTCTTTTTCTCTCTAGTCTCTACTTGGAGACACTTTTGGAGTTTCATATTTTCTTTGAATGCCCTATCTATGTCTAGTTCTAGTGACAGACATGAGGTCTCAATGCTGGGATAAAGAACAGAACAGAAGTGCCATTCATTACTGCCATTCATTACTGAGTGTTACATATGGCCATATGGGTGACATGAGCACATAAATGCCAGGGTAGCTGTCAAAGTTTCCCCTGGTAGTGAAAATGAAACTTAAAAGGCTAGAGATTATGTTGTAATACTTCTTTATGAATTACTGAATTCTTTGAAAACCACAATTTCTAGCCCATTGCTTTCATATCTAGTGGCCTTGGAGGCACTTTAGTCATTTAATGGTCATTACCTACTGAAGCAATCAGCCATTGATGATATAAAAAATAGCAAGAATATGATTTATTGTGTAGTATAGTTACTGAGGAAAATTACTACCTTCTGCGTATGGCCATACATCCATAAATACAATGCCTCATCTCTTTTTTCTATTATGTTAAACTTCTAATATTTGATATGTGGAGTCCATATTTACAGATATTTAAGAATGCCTCCAGAATTGTTGCCAACCATTATTTCTTCTATCCAAAGTAGAGTTGAAGAGGGCTTCTCATTTCGAAGTGATCAGAATATCTTGTTGGTTAGTGCTATATTTACTAGTATAATTATGAAGCACTAAATTCAAGATATCTCCCATTTCTGTGATAATGTAAGAGATCGTTAAGTGAAACTCAAATTCTAACTGTGCCAGAAGGGGTCTAGCCTAATTTATCTTTCTATATAATGAAGGAGATTGTCAAGTGAAACTCAAATTCTAACTGTGCCAGAAATTGTACATGCATTCAGTTTTTTTTGGAATCATGAATTTGACAGACTGACAGTGAATTGTCTTGTAACATGATATTATCAGCTAGGGTAACCATTTGAAATAATAAATAAGACTGGCTTTACTAAGAAGAACTGCTATTAAAATGAGTCAATGCCTGGGATTTATGCATTCTCCATTTGTCGAGACAACCCTTTGAAATCTAGTAGAATCGTGGTAAAGACACAAGTTTACGGATAGTTGTGCTTGATTTATGATTACTTTCATACTTGAGAAAGAAATTAATCTGAAACGGCCAGTGCTTCAAGCTCATCTGAAACTAAGAAAAACTTGTACTGTAAAAAAACTCATTCAATCTTTACAAATATAAATTAAGTAAGTTGTTTTGATTTTTCTAAGTTTATCTAATAGTTCATTTTTCAAAATATATGGGGCTTTATACAAGATTCATATAATACAGAAAGTGCTTTTCTTTGTGCTATTTTATGAGTTGCGAAACCGTGCATTCATGTATAAAAATGTTTTATTACTCAAACATAGTTGCTGTGACAGTACTCATGCATTCTTGATAGTATGAAAATGTGCATGGTTTCATAATGTGCCGATAAAGTCCAATTATGATGCTGTTAAATTTCTTTTTGGGAATCATTTAGCTGTCAAACAAGTTCATCTAGCAATAGAATGTTGACAATCATTTTGCAGGCAGCTGCTATCAACTGCTTGAGTGTCGCTTTATCCTCATCAGCTTTCTCAACACCAGTCAAAGATATGCTTTTCGCAGAAGTGACAAAAGGTATTTTTTTGCTGTCCTGCCTGACTTCTCGAATTTTCAATATTACAATGTTCGAAGGGCAAATAAGTATAAAGTACGTACCTGCTACCCAGTGCCAAAGCTCCTATACGGCAACACCACAGTCGTGTAGGGAAGGGCTTAAGCTAGGCACCTTTCCATTGCGTTTCTGCATGTAGGCAGGTTCACATGGCCGCACTATAGACTAAGCACTTTCTTCATAAAAATACAAGGAGAAATCAATATTATTTCTCTGCGTGTATAGATTTATGCGGCATTGGCCCATCACATGCCTAAATTGAGGTAGGTTGCACAGCCGGAGTATTGGATACATAGATGTTATGTGCAGCTGCAATCAGAGAACCAGAGTGCGAAGGATAATTTACAAATAGTATATGACTCATATGAACAGCTTCCTTATTTCTACTAAGGTTGACAAAGAGAATAGTGGTTTGAATAAATTACTCCCTCCGTCCCATTGTATCATCCTACATTCCTTTTTGGTTTGTCCCAAAATAAGTGTCTCATTTCCTCTTTTGGAAAGAAATATGTGGCCTACAACATGTTACTTTATTATACTAAAATCTCAACCACAACTTTTACTTTTTCAACCACTTTCTTAATAATTGTGCCAAGTCAAAGTGAGACACATAAAATGGGACGGAGGTAGTATTGCTTAGCATTTGGCTGTTTAGCGCGATTGGCTTATTTATAGAAATCTGACCCCACAGTTTCAATGTGTGTAGACACCTAGTTGTGGCCTTAGTTTTGTTTGACTACGCTCTATGCTTTGCTAATCATATATTTTGAATACTTTTTAATATTTCAAAATTCTAAATAATACCAACTATCACCCAACGACCAATAATAAAACATTTTATAAAAGTTGCTTTAAATTAATAAATACTACCAACTATTTGAATATATAATGTAAATGATACAGAACCACTTTTTGAACTACAAATCCGGTTATTTAACCCATAAAAACTGATATCAAACCATCAAATCAACATTATTTGATATTCGGTCATTTATGTGATGGTTTAAATGGCTGGATTTATGATCGACATGCGTCTTCCTATCATTTTCGTTATACCGTTCTTGGTTTTATATAAAGCAATTTTTATAGTATATATTATTATTATTATTGGCCGATGGGTGATGATATATCTAAGGTTATTTTCCCTTCCGAAATTTAGCAGCAAGCACCTGTGTCCTTGTCATTGAGTTTAGAACTATGTTGCGGTTATGTACTTGTATATGATGTTAGCTTTCAACATATTATTTCTGCTTTAAATTAAATGAATGGTTGGCATGCTGTATACATATTTGATTTTTCACTACGGGGTACCAGCATTGGCTGCTTCAATCTTTGCAACCATGTTCGCGGTTCTAATGTTTGGTTATATTACCTCATATGAAGTAAGTATGTGTGTGCATCTTTTCCAGGTTTTGTCAGCCGAAAATCAGGCGTTTTATCAATCTTATTTCAATATTCTGAACCAGAAACAAGCCCGTCGATAAGCTTTGAGGCACTCCAGGTATGGTTTAGCAAAACTAAATATCTTGCTTAGTCCCAAAGCTCTAAACTCCAAAAGATGGTCGGGGATGTAAGGACTTATTTTTGCGAAAGGGCAGGTCCTTGGGAAGTGTTAGATATAATACACCGTTTTGTAATGGCTTTAAGTCAGTTAGTATTCAGTTAGTTGGTTAGTTTAGTTGAGTTGTAGCCCTCTATATAAATACTCTGTACACTTGCTTTGCTTGATTAGTGAATTCATTACATTCATCATTATCTCTATCTCTGAATTCTATTATGGTATCAGAGCTTTAGCTCGATCCAACCATGGTGAATTCTTCATTCACTTCTTCTTCAATTACTGGAAATTCTATTCTTCCGGTGATTCTCAATCATCCTCTTCCGATCAAACTTGACTCAAATAATTTTCTATTTTGGAAGCATCATGTCGAATCTGTTATGCGAGCACACAAACTTCTGAAATTTGTTGAAAAACCTAAAATTCCTGAACAATTCATCGTCGCAATCGTGGCGAGACTACTACAGTGAACGAAGAGTACACTCTATGGGAGCAGCTAGATCAGATGCTATTTTCCTGGATTCTCGCATCACTCACTGAATCACTTCATGCTCGTGTCATTCAGTGTAGACACTCATACGAACTCTGGAGCGAAATTCACAAGTTCTTCAAGTCGCAAATCATCGCACGCGCTCGTCAACTCAAATCCGAACTCTATAATAATACCAGCAAAGGTGATCGATCTGATCTATTACTGAGTATCTTCTGCATATTCAAAGCATTGTTGACAACCTCACAGCTGTAGGAGAGTCTATTTCTCCTAAGGATCACATTAATGTGAACCTTGAAGGACTTCCTGAAGAGTACAAAGCTCTTGTATCATCAATTTCTTCCAGAAGCATTCTCGATCCAGTCTCTCTCTCTGAACTCGAAGGATTGTTGCTAGCCAAGGAACTTCGAGCCAGAAAACAACGTGAATCTTCACAGCAAAATCTGTTTTCAGCTAATGTTGCTCGCTTAGAAACCTCCACTTCAAATGATGACTCTATATCTCAAAGTTCTACAGAAAACTCCTCTACGTATGTTGCTCAGTTTCCTAATTCTCACAATAATGCTCCATACAGAGGTAGAGGTCATGGAGGACCCTTCAGAGGGCGCGGAGGTTGTTCTGGAGGTCGCAGTTCAGTTGAATGCCAAGTCTGTGGCAAAACTGGTCATAGTGCTTTGGTATGTTATCACAGGTATAATCCTACATACACTGCTTCTATGCCTGATGCTTCCCAATCATTCTATCCTCAACAAATTCATCCACAAACCTCACAGCCTCCATCCTTTTCATCTCAACCAAGGTTACCTCAGAACAATATACAACCACACTTTCCAGAAAATCAAAATTGGAGTCACTCCCCATCTCAATCACCTAATAACTTCTACCAGATACCTCAAGATACCTCAACCTTCTACCAACCCTCTACCTAATCCTTACACATCTCAAGCAAACTGGAACCAAAATCTTGTACCCACTGCTGCCTGGGCATCTGCTAGCCCTTCTATCCTTGGACCTCATCCACACTCTAGCAATTGGTTTCCAGATTCAGGAGCAACACATCATGTTACTTCTGATCCTCTCAATTTGCAACATAGTGAACCTGCTATCACAACTGACAAGCTTTTCATGGGCAATGGTCAAGGTTTGGATATTAAGTCTATTGGTTTCTCTTCCTTTTCCTCTCCTTATCATCCCTCTTATACACTCTTTCTTAACAATATTCTTCATGTACCCACTATAACCAAAAACTTGCTTAGTGTTAGTCAGTTTGCCAAAGATAACAATGTCTTTTTTGAATTTCATCCTCATGAATGCTTTGTTAAATCTCAGGCTTCTAAGGAGGTTCTATTACATGGCATTCTGGGTGCTGATGGTCTCTACAAGTTTCAGTCTCTTCCAGCTCTTGTTTCTAGTCATTCTGTTTCTCAAAATAAGTCCTGTAATAACATTCAGTCTTGTAATAGTTCTAGTTCTTGCAATCTGTGCCATTTGAGGCTTGGTCATCCTCATCTTGAGGCTCTAAAGTCTGTACTGAAACTCTGTATGTTCCTACCATTAATAAAAGTGCAATTGATTTCTGTTCATCTTGTTGTCTTGGTAAAGCACATAGACTCCCATCTTCCCCCCTCCACCACAATTTTTCACTCACCCTTTGAGTTTAATATTCACTGATCTTTGGGGACCAGCTCTTGTTGTTTCCTTTGATGGTTATTCCTACTACATTTCCTTCATTGATGCCTTCACAAGGTATACATGGATTTACTTTCTGAAAAAGAAATCTGATGCTCTTGTAGCTTTCCAAAACTTTTATCAATACATCCTCAATCAGTTTTCTGTCTCTATCAAATGATTCAAATCTATTCAGTCTGATTGGGGAGGTGAATTCAGATCTTTCACCAAATTCTTAACTGAAAAAGGCATTACACATAGAATCATTTGTCCTCATACTCATCATCAAAATGGTGTAGTTGAGAGAAAACATAGAACCATTGTTGAGAAGGGTCTTTCTCTTCTAGCTCATTCCTCCTTGCCTCACAAATTTTGGGACACTGCCTTTGCAACATCAGTCCATCTTGCAAATAGAACCCCTTCCAAATCAATTGCTAATTTCAGTCCATATTTCAAGCTCTGTGGTTCCATTCCAGATTACTCCTTTCTCAGAGTATTTGGATGTTCCTGTTTCCTCTTTATCAGGCCCTATAATAAACACAAAATGGATTTTCACTCTGAAGAATGTGTGTTTATAGGCTATTCTTCTCAACATAAGGGTTACAAGTGTCTCTCACCTTCTGGGAAAGTCTATATCTCTAGAGATGTAGTCTTTAATGAATCCAAATTCCCTTATTCTATTCTTTTTAATTCACACATCAACCAGCCCTATACTACCTCCCCTCCACAGTCTGTTCCTATCACTATACTTCAACCAAATTCTGAACCACTTTCTTTTGATCTATCTCAATCAAACTCATCCACACCCTCTAATACTACTTCTTCACCTCAAACTGATTCCACTCAATCAATTCCTACACACCCTCCACTACAATCTGGCTCTTCTCATCCAGAACCCCATTCCCAGAATACTTCACCATCCCACTCTTTGATTATGTGTAATTATTCTTTGATTCTTTCCCCAAGTCAAAGGGTTTGTGTTTGTAAACAAATTACTCAAGATGTTCATATGATATTTTCAACCCTTTCAAGTTGGTATTCGAGCCAGGTTGGGTTACAGATTTATTGTTTATCCAATACCTATGATTTAGGGTAGCTCATATAAGGCCCATTTATCCATGCTCAAGTTGTCCACCCCATTTGAATTAAGGGGGCGAGTTGAAGTACTAGTCTCACCCCTGGTTTGGCATAAAGTAATAAACTACTCCCTCCGTCCCCCTATTATTGTCCCATTTCCTATTCACTTGGTCAACACAAATCACTCTTAATCTCTTACTTTATGTATCAAATTTTTATCAAATTTGATTCTGGTTTTTGCGACTTTGTAAATCTTTTAATGTAGTTTCTGAATATGTAATTTTTTTTTCCTAAAAATAATTTGAGTGCGGACAGGGATCTGTTTGCTTTATCGTCGGTCAAGCATCGTAAACCGTAATGGGACAATAACAGGGGGACGGAGGGAGTAATAAACTATATAAGATTATAAACTAATTCTCTTATCAGGTTAATCTTTTAAACTGGAACTCCAAGCCTCAATAGGCATTTTTTCAAGATAAGTGTTCTTTTTTCTGGCTTTTTCTTAAATATGGCAATGTGCTGATAATTAAACATGTTATTAAGGTTTAAGAAGTTTGCTTAAATTCCCATTTGAGATGTTTAAAATAAATTGTTTTACTGTGAGCTGGAAGCATGTTAAGCTGGCCTCAAAAAGTTCGATACGTTCTCATTTCACGTGTTTAAAATGTAGAATCGTTTATAATATATTAGATCTCATGCCTTGAAGTCTTGATTAACTTTTGCTTGAAATCTAATAGCTTGAAGATCTTCTTAGTTGATTGATAATCCTTGTTTAATTTAATCGACCTCTCACTGAAGGATACTCTGACTATAGTGTAAAATGTTGCATGATGTTATGCGCTGACATAGTTTATTGCAGGCCCTAAAAAATGTGACTCACAGCCATCCAAGTGTAATGGTTTTGTGTTGGGAAAAAGTTTCCTCTTTAACATATCAATATCTAAGTGCATCTGTTGACACTCAAACTAGAACCTGGAGAGATAATACGCCTGGTGAGAAAGCCATCGCAGCTGCCATCAAGGTGAAACACCCTGCCATTTTTTACAATTTTATAGCAGTTCATCTTTCTATTCATTAGCTGCATTAGATGCTCTAACTTTTGCCAGCATATTCACAGTGGTACCTAACTATAGTCTTAACAGCGCCGTATTAGGCGTCTACCTCAGCTAGAAGTGAGCTACTCTATGGAAGCCTAGTGGCTGCCTAGGCAGTTTTTTAGAATGATGGATCTATGAGTTCTGGTCTGTGTTTATTTGTCGAAGATTATATATTTGTGATACTTAAAAAGTATAGAATTCTTTTCACCAACTCAGAGGTGTTAAAACTAAGGGTTTGAAGGTCTAGGCAGTGGCAAATGTTGACCACCCACCGAAGAGGCTTGAAGCTATAAATTTAAGCGGACTAAAGAAAATGTGTGTAAATTATAATCATAAGACTCATTCTCATAGTGGTGTGATAGACAAGGAGTAAAGCAAGCGGTTCAGTTTTACAAGAAAGTATATAAAAGGAGGAAGAATGGGGCAGTTAATAATAACGATTAACTAACTAGTCTGTCAGTTAGTTAGTTGAGGTCCCTGCGTGGACTTTTACTATAAATAGAAGATGAATAAGCTAGCTAGAGCAGTCTGTTATTTGGCTAGAACCGGGCTAGGAGATTAGGCATCTCGAATTGTCTAAAGCTTGTGTACTCTCGATTGTTGAATAAAGTGTGATCTGTGTGTTCTTGGATTGTTTGTGTGTGAATTCTGAATCAGTAATATCAGTGTTCTATCATTGGTATTGGGCATTATGCTCCTGGTGGTTACAGAATTGATCGGAGAAGGACAGAAATCCAGAATTTTTTTCGTTTGAAGGTGGTGGTTCGAACGAGAGGCAAAATGGATCATCGCTTGGAATCGTTGGAGCGAAATCAGCAGGAGATGCATTCCGCGTTGGATGCTCTCACAGCAAAAATGGATGCGATGGCGGAACACTTTCAGAACCGAGGGAGATCGCGAACACCTCAACAACTTCATACGAGAAATTCGCGCAGTCCGATAGCCTCCAGAGGTAACTCTGTTCATTCACATGTTCATATTGCTCGACGAAGTGATGAAAACCTTAGATTACCTGGTAGAAAGGTAGATTTACCTTTATTCAATGGTGAGGGAGCCTACAATTGGATTGTACGCATGGAGAGGTACTTTCGCTTGAATCATATTGAAGAAGAAGAAAAAGTGGAAGCATCCATGGTTGCGATGGAGGATAGAGCTTTGAACTGGTTCCATTTATGGGAGAATCAAACTGAAGAAACAACTTGGGAAACTTTGAAGAAATCTGTCATTCGCAGATTTCAACCGGAGTTAATTCAAATTCCATATGGACCACTGTTGAGTTTGAAGCAAACTGGAACTGTGAAGGATTACAGAGAAGAATTTGAAATGGTGATCGCTCCGCAGCTGACTCTGGACAGGGAATTACTGCGAGGGGTTTTCATGACAAGTCTGAAGGATGAGATCAAATCAGAGTTGAAATTGTTTACATCCAGGTCTTTAACTGAGATTATGGATAAGGCTGTACTTATTGAACAGAAGAATGAAGCACTCTATTTGAAAAGGAAGGAGGAAGACAAGTTGGTGGGAAGAGACAAAGGATCTGCATCAGTTAAACCTCAGACTTGGGGGGATGGTTTTAAGACAAAATCTGGTAATCCTTGGTCATTTCAGAATAAGTTGGTTACAGAACACAAAATTAACAATTCTGGGAGTGATAAGGTAGGAAACAAGCTTCCTGCAGCTCAACCTTCTGGAATTAGAAGGGTAGGGCCTCAGTTGTCTCAAGAAGAATTTCAGGAAAGGAGTAGAAAAGGATTGTGCTTCAAATGTGGGGATAATTGGAGTAAAGAGCATACTAGTAAACTAAAGAACTACAAATTAATGTTGATTGAAGATTCAGATGGAGAAAAAGTATCAGATGAGGGCAGTCCCATTGTTACAGAACCTGAACAGGCAGTAGACATGGAATCTAAATCAATGCAGCTATCTCTCATGAGCCGGGAAGGGATACCTACTATGAGGGCTTTCAAGGTGATGGGAACGGTGAAATGGTAAAAGGGAGACCAGTTGGTAGAAGTGTTAATTGACAGTGTGGGGACACACATAATTTCATTTCTCAAGGGCTGGTAGAACAACTGGGATTACCTTTTAACACCATACCTAGTTACAAGGTTCAAATTGGTAATGGAGAAAAGATAGTCAATAATGGAAGATGTGAGGGGTTGACACTGAGTTTTCAAGGTACAGACCTTAAACAGGATTTTTATATCCTCAGTTTGGGAGGTACAGATGTAGTGTTGGGTATGGAGTGGCTGACTAGCCTAGGGGATGTTGAAATTAATTTCCAAAAGCAAACTATCAAGTGGCAGCAGTTGGGCCAAGGTTTGTCTATTCAGGGTGATCCAAAATTGAATTCCATGGATGTTTCTTTAAAAACTATTTCACAAATCTTACAAGACAATGGAGATGGTTATTTTGTATATTGTGAAGGGAGTACACTGAATATGAAGAATTGTGGGGAGCTAGAACCTGTGTGGAAGCATAGAATCGGTCAAATTTCTAATCTATAGCCGATTGATTCTCGGTTAGCTGGTGACTCTGCTAATGTGGCATCCAGATGTCATTTTTGCCTTTTTCTTTTTCTTTTCTTTCTTTCCTTTTCATTCTCTTTTCCTTTTTTTTCTTCTTGCCCACCTCCCCCCATCTCCTTTGTTCTTTGGCCCCACCTCCATCTTTCTTCTCCCCCCATATGACTTTCTTTCTCCCTTCTTTTCTTCCCACGAAGATTTGAAACTTACGATTTTTTTATTCTCGGTTAGATGTGAAACTAATGATTTTCTGTTTTTTTGTCTGCATGAGGATGTGCTTTGTTTCTAACCTCCTGTACTCTGCTGTGACCTCTCATCTTGTGTTAGCTATGCATCATGATGCATTCACTTTCTTATGTGCACGCAGCTTGCATGACCATGTACTTTTATACCACTTAATGATCATTATTGATTAATGCATGGATTATTGTAGGACGAGGAGCTTTTGTAGTAATTTGCGCGCATGTTTTACAATTCTCCTTTCTTGAATGAAAACCCTCTCTTCATTTGTGTTGTATGCAAAAAAGGGAAATGTTCCCTGACTTCTCTCTTTGAAATGGATTTTGTTCCTAACAGTAATGCCTTGTTCTGGACCTCTGATCATGGTATACTTTATAGTTTCAAAATTTTGACACAGATGTACATGCAGGTTTTAGATCAATGTCTTCGTGCTGCCTCTGGATTTAAAGGAACTGAAGATCTTTTCAGTGATAAATCACTCGAGAACCCATTTATGTCTGATTATGTGAAAACAAAAACTATTTCATCAGCTCCAGCTTATGAGATGCAGGGTTATGTAACAACTAAAGACAGAGCTGAATCTCTGTCAGGAAGTGAACAGTGGCTTGAGTTAATTGATAGGCATATGCCTTTTATACTTGAGCATGCTTCTGTCATGGTTAGTTGGAGTATATCCCTTTCAGTTTCTTTCCAAAAATGATTACCATATCTTTTTGTTCTTTTTTCTAAAATAGGAATTAAAGGGTTACATATTGGAATTTGAATCTGTAACACAGGAAAGTAGACCCTCACTTCACTATTGCAATTGTTCCTGAAAACTTGGTTGACAATAGAAACCCTTTAACTTGATTTTTAAATACTTTATTACAATATGTTCAGTCCAATTCGAGATTATAGTTTTTTATGATTCTGCATCATTTGAGCTAAAAGAGTAGCATAGGCTGGTTCAAAAGTAACATTGGTCCTGCTGCAATGAGGATATTCTATTATTTCTTTACTTTTGCTATGTGATTTTTCATAGTTGCTGAACATTTAAATATACATGGCATAGTTGTTGAGCATGGTAGTCGAAATCGCAACTTGGGTCGTAGGGTTACTCGACTTTATATTCCTTTCTACCTGTTGTAATTCATATTGAACGAAGGGTCACAAATTTGTAACATCACTTGAGTACATTCTCTCTGTGCTTTAGTGTAGGGGTATGACTAGGGGTATGACTGTGTACATCTGATCCTCCTTAGCCCCCACCGTAGGTGGGGCTGCCTTTGCAGCACTGGGGTAACATTGTTCTTGTTGTTGTTGCTCCTTGAATCAAAGAACATCGTGGATATGGTAGGAACACATTCGAATCGTGAACACTGCGTGGTCAGAAGTTTTCCAAAATTATTAAATAATAAATATAAGGGAAAAATCGTCAAGTAGTAATTTAAAAAGTTGGACAAAAGCGGAAGATTTAAATCACGGTTTTGTGTAAAGAAATTGTCCTAAATAGGAGTTAAAACGTTTGAGATTTCTAAAATAGGACTACCGTTTTTTATTCCCTAAACAAGAGATGCATTTTTAGGAGGTTCAATAGGTTATATAGAACAAGCCCCCAGATCTATGGGGCCCCAATTTTTAAAAACTTATTAGTATTATATAGTCATATTATATTATATATTAATACTAATCAGTAAAAAACAGTTAGCAAGGAAGAAAAAAACTGATCCATCATTTTTTTAATCGGTCATTTTAGTCCTCTTTTTCTCAATTTGCTTGAGTAATGATCAATTGTGTACTTGTGTTGCTGTAAATCAAGCATTAAGTAACTTTTATTACGTTATTTAATGAGTATTCAATTGATTTGAGTATAAGTATTTAGATTGAGGTTTTGTTTTTAATTTTTTATGTTAATGTGGGGCCTCAATTTTACATTTAGAACCGGGGCCTCCAAATTCATTAGACGGCCCTAAGAGTAATTACTGGATTTACCGCCATGTTTGGCATTACCGGCTTTAAACACGCCAGCATTTTTAAAGCTTCGCACTAATTACTTCTATGTAGGGAATAAAAACACAATACTCCTATTTTGGAATTCCAAAATGTTTTTACTCCTATTTCAGGAATTTTCCCTTTTGTTTATATTTTTTTTGGATGAAGTTTTCCCTTTTGTTTATAGTTTACATAGAATGTTGTTTCAACCATAAAAGTGAAAGGTCTCTAGGAGACTAGGACTATGTATTTGCGTAAAATTTTAATGTTTAAACATGTCATTTGAGAGTACTGTTAAAAGTCCAGATGCTTTCCAACGCACAACCAGCCCAGTCATTTGTGTTACCAATAATTTTAAGATTTCCAAGATATTTGTGTAGTAAGCTGTGCTGGATGATTTCTGAAAGTATCTTGGGATTTGGATGAAAACATCTTAAAGTCTCACTTGAAGATGCTAAATATGACTCATCACTCATAAAACTTACAAAGTTACAAGAAAAATAAATATCAGGACGAGCAAAACAGGTAACCACAAGATATTGCAGTTTCCATATCAACCTCCTATATCTCCCTGGATCAGACCCCCCTCCCCGATCTGGTAGGAAACTAAGAATTTGCCTTTGGGGTCCATGGTATTGTCAAGCGGTTGCAATCCAGTACCCATTTTTTAAGTGCATCCAGAGCACTCTTTATGTTGTGACATGTGAATTATTTTCCTTGAGCTTGCAACTTTAATCTATAGAAAAAATCTGAAATTCCAGAAGTTGTTTGTTTCAAAACAAACAATGTCATCATGTTCAAAAACCTTCCAAACTCCTATGGTAGCAATGTGGTCAATATGAACAACAAGAAGAAAGCTCGTAATGTCTATACTCTATAGATAACAGAGTAACCAACTTTGTTTGAACTCTAGTTGAGCTTCCTAATCACACAACTGAACCTTCCAAACGAGGCATAGGCAGACTCTTCAAGTCTTAAAGAGACCTTTCGAGTTTACAAATGAAGTCACTTCCTCCCCAACAAACTCCGACGGATGCGCCATGTAGACCTCCTCCCATATGTGAAATGCATTTAGTTATAGACTTATAGCAACCATTGATTTAGTAATCCCCAAAACTTGAGCCCACCCTCTCTAAAAACCAAAACTGTGACAAATTTCTAAGGCTAACTTAACTAACATTCCTCCTAACGTACAAGTGACACCCTAACTTTATCGACTGATTCATTTGCTCCAATACTGTGTTTCTTTTATTAGAAGCATCTTCTTTTTATACTTCTTTTATAACTGAGCTCTATTTTTTTCAAGTGCTTGCTTGCTGGATACCAAATTATATTGGTACTGTTAGGTGCTTACCTAGTCCTTGTTATGATATCAAGAGAAATGCAGTGTCTATGACAAACAAATAAGCATTTTTAGCTCGTAATTTTGAATTTGATAGAACAAATAATGTTCATTTTACACTTGTTCGAACTGTAATCGATTGATTTGTCTACAAGGTAAGGGCTGCATCAGTTACATGTTTTGCTGGGATAACGTCTTCGGTATGGTTCTATATGCCAAAAGCAAAACAGGATTTCATTATTTCTTCTTTGGTAAGTACTCAGTGTTCAACTATTTTTGCTAATAACCAAGATTGACATTATGAGTTGTGATGCTTTTTGCCATCTTTGTAGATCAGCTTTGCTGTTACTGATGATGCTCCTTTAGTTAGATCGGCTGCTTGCCGTGCTATTGGTGTAATTGCTTGTTTCCCACAAATTTTTGAAAGGTAATTAGTTTGCTTGCTTGTGGAGGTATCAATTTATATTTGCTGCAAACAAGTGATTGAACCTTAAACTGATCCAATATGTAGTGCAGAGATCTTTGAAAAGCTTATCTATGCTGCTGAGCACAATAGCCACGATACATTGGTCCCAGTATGTTATTTCTTATCCCACTCCTTCTCTACTCTCAGAATGTGCTATTTGACATGCTTTCATATTCATAGGATATCAGTTTATCCCTTTCAGGTGCGTATAACAGCTTCCTGGGCTATAGCAAATATATGTGATACTCTTTGCCACTATGTTGATGTAAATGGCTTTGACCAACATTCTTCGGGTGAGATTATAATTTAATAATTTATGGAAAAATCACACTTTTGGTCCATTTATTCTGCATTTTGAAATGTAGTCTGTCGGGCCGCGGGTATGCGGTGCCACCAATCTGCCAGCCTGCCGGTGCAATCGAACCACGTGGCGCTTTGCTTGCGCTATAAAGGGGGAGGAGCGTGCTTCACTATCAGCGATTGCTTTTAATGTAGCGGTAAGCGCAACGATCCACAAGTGGTATCAGAGCCAAGGTCACGGGTTCGACCCCTGGCAACAGCATGCTGCGCAGTTAAGGCTGGCAGGTGCTGGGGGGAGATTGTTGGGCCGCGGGTATGCGGTGCCAGCAATCTGCCAGCATGACGGTGCAATCGAACCACATGGCGCTTTGCTTGTGCTATAAAGGGGGAGGAGCGTGCTTCACTATCAGCGATTGCTTTTAGTGTAGCGGTAAGCACAACGATCCACATAGTCCCTGTCTTATAAGTGAATACAACAACATCCAAGCCTTAGTCCCAAAAGATATTGGGGTCGGCTAACATGAATCGATACATGATATCACCACCAAAAGGAAAAGAAAGAAAATAAAGATAAAAAAGATAAGTTGTCTTATAAGTGAATGTGGCCCCTTAAATGTGGCCCCTTTAACCAACTCCATTTCTACATTGGTATCGGTAGGGACTATATTTACAACATATTGCTAAATTGAGGGATGATATTTCAACATTTTACACTATTAAAGGGAAATATTTTCAAAAAAAAAAAGAGCATTTTACATTATTAACTGCAAAATTGGTAAGGACAAATTTGCAATTTATTGCACACTTATGGGACGACATTTGCAAAAATTAAAAGTCATGGACTAAATTTCAATTCGCATGATAAATGGGAGACCAAAAGTCTGATCTCCCTAAGTTTATTATCTTTTGTTCTGGTATTATGGCATGTAGTCTGGGCCTCCACTGACAGCAATTACAATCATGTGATAGATTCAGAAGCAAGTTCTAAGTGGATCTCATTGCTAATTGACAGTAGTTTGCGACTTGCAAAAGATAATGACAAGGTGATTGCACTTCTTTCAGCTGATGCTTCTACTTGATCTTCTGGATTCGTGAAGTTATATTTTCAATGGATAATGTAATAATCAGATATGGTCAAGAAAATAATAACATTCTTTCATGTTTTTATCTTCCCCCTCCACAGGGTTTACATTAAATTGTTTTTTGTATGTCTGGAGAGGCTCGGGGTTTTGTATAATCAGATCTATGTGCTAAGTGTCCTGAAGCCCTTCCATGAATGACCTGAATTAGGAGGATATATGCGAAAGCAGGAGACATGATTTCATTTTGTAACGTTGAAAGTTTGGAGCTTCCTTAGGCTTCAGCTATTAAAGTCTTTATCCACCATTGGTCTGGTTAAATAACTTTATTGATTTGTTAGTTGAACGTTTAATTCTTAAAATTGCTTGAATAGTAAGAACTATTAAATCTGGACAACTAACACTAAGCTTGCCTACACAGTAATAATCTATCACCCTGAATTACTTTTTGTTATGCAGGTGTGTTCATTTCTACTTTCGACAAAGTAGGCTTCTTAATTGCATTTTTAAGCTTAACTAAATGTGAATCAATTTCAAGGTTTATAAATGCCTTTTTTCTTTCAATCTCCTTCATTAGATTTTTCTATTTATGCATGATTCCAGATTAAAGCAAATGCTGTGAGAGCTCTGGGGAACCTGGCTAGATTTGTTCCATTAACAAGTCATTCAAGTGATTATGACAGGTCAGGAAAGTGTTCAGAACTTCTAATATGTAACTCTGTAAAAAGATCCATAGGAGTGATGATCCAAATCCAAGAAACTGTCCAAATTCAAACAGGAAACTGTTGGAGGAATCACATTGGCTGGAAAAGATGGTTCAAACATTCCTTTCTTGTGTTTCAACCGGAAATGTCAAGGTATATCATCCCACCCACACCGTTTGCTTACAATTTGGCTTGAGATCAGTGTTCAGAGAGATCTCTTGTCTTGTATAGTTGTAAGCTAATTGTGTGCCGTAGCTATATACTATATTGTGTGCTGTTTAGGGGGCTCATTGTATGCTGTACGTATATACTATATTATATTGTGTGCAACATTGAACAGTGTTAGTTATGGTATTTTTTTTTCTTTTTAAGGGGTTGGGGGGAGATCTTTAGCCAATCTAGTTGTCTGCAAGTCGACTTTGCACCCCGTTTTATGAAATCATTTGTTTTTACATCCCAAACCTCAAAACTTACACCACAACTATGTGATCCTTCTGGTGATAGATTAAATTTAATCCAACTTGTTATGGACGGTATATCCCCATTACGGTAAATCAAACTATTGTAGGATGTTGGGGGTGGGAACTGGGATGAGTTTTAATTTATTTATATATTTGTCTGAATTTTATTTCCTTTTGTAAATATTTAAAAATAAATCAGTCATAAAAAATTAACTCCTGCTCTTATGTCATTTCACACAGATTCTATCAGTTGCTAGTTAAATTTATTACCAGCCAATATGATAACAACTAATAACTACTAACTACCACCTACTCTCCAAACCTCACCACGGAGAGAAGAAGATAGTGGAACCTGTACTGATAGGCTGGAAGTCGTTTATTTAAGTAATCTGCTATGCTTAACATATGATTAATGTTGCAGGTTCAGTGGAATGTCTGTCATGCACTAAGCAACTTATTTTTAAATGAAAAGTTAAAATTGCAACAGATGGACTGGTATGCGACAACTAATATTCCTCGTTTTAAGATTATTTTTTCTCATTATGCTAGCAGTTCCCTTTGATAGTTTAAATTGGGATGTTATTTGAACTTGGAAAGGAAGGCTTTTAGTATTATGTATTATTTACATTATGGGGTATGTGTTTTGCTGCTGTGTTTCTATCACTTAGGATAGGTATTGTCCAAGATGAAATTACCTGAATAAGTTCCATATTGCAAGAAGTTTTTGAAGTTAGATTACATGTTATCTTTTGGGTTATTGGCCTAGAAAGTATTCAGCCCAACACTGGAAGGATCCAGAACCTCAGGTAGTGGGCCTGAAGCCATATACCTCTGCCCAACCAAGTTGCATGTTAGGAATGGGCCTATGATTAGAAATAATAATAAGTGGGCCTATTATTGTAGATAATAATAAGTGGGCTTGTATTATAAATAGAAGTACTATAAATAGAAGTCTGGAGTCTAAGAATGGTAGGCAAGAATTCTGTTGAGAATAGGCTGGGAGATTGGGCATCTCGATTAGTCCTAGGCATTGTATACGACGTTCTGTACTCTTCTTCTACATCAATAAACTCTTCTTGATCTCTTTCTTGATCAATTTCTTACTGATTATTTACAATTCTGAGTATCCATTATCAGTGTTCTATCATTGGTATCAGAGCATTACGTTTCTGGTGAACGGGACTGTGATCGGAAAAGTTACGTGGATTGAAGAAACTCTAATCGTTCGAACTGTGAATGGTCAGAACGAGAGGCAAGTATTCTGTCGGACTTTGAACTTGGAGACTGGGCATCTCGAATCATCCAAGGCTTGTATACGATCTGTTCTCTTTCGTTATTCTGTTGGTATCAGAGCATAAGATGGATCATAGATTGGAATCGCTGGAGCGAAATCATCAGGATATGAAATCGACGCTGGAGATTATCGAAGCGAAGATGGATGCGATGGCGGAACAATTCCAGAACAGAGGAAGGTCGCGATCTCCTCAACAGCTTCATACGCGAGTGGTTACTACTGGGTCGAAGATGTCTTCACCATCCGCTCCTCACACTTCCAGTTCTAAGGCTTCGTCACGAACTGTTTATCCTCAATCATCTTCATCGCAGATCTTTTCTCCCAGTTCGCAAACTGTATCGCAAACTCCTTAGCAATCTCATACGCGAGCTTCAATCAGTCCAGTAGCTTCAAGAGGTAATTCAGTTCATTCTAATGTTCATAATCATGGGCGTAGTGATGAACATATTAGAATACCTGGTGGAAAGGTAGATTTACCTCTGTTTAATGGCGAAGGAGCCTATAACTGGATTATGCAAATGGAGAGGTATTTTCGGTTAAATGACTTTGAAGAGGAAGAGAAGGTTGAAGCTGCTAGGGTTGCTATGGAAGATAGGGCTTTGAATTGGTTTCATTTGTGGGAAAATCGGACTGAAAAAACTAATTGGGACACTCTGAAGAAATCTATCATTTGTAGATTTCAACCTGAGTTGATTTCTTTATCCGCCAGCAGTTCACGACCAAGTAAGACTCTATCGAGAGAAGCTTCTTGTTCGCAAATGTCATCTAAAACTGTTTCAGCTTTGTCGCGAACAATAGCTCCCAGTTCTCAGGTATCAACAGTCCTGCAGGAGTCTGTGAGGGAGCAGCAACCATCCTTTGATGATAGGAGTGCTTCTTTTGTCAAAGAAAATGCAGAGAAGTGCACTAAGGGCGACGATGAAAGCAAGGAAAAGGCATCAGATGCCGCTGAACCTAAAGGTTTATCTAGTGAAAGAGTAGTTCAAGAAAGGAGGTGTGCTCAAGCCAAGGCATTATCATGGTTCTGGAAGGCGGTCAATCAGGGCGAGGCAAGGTCAATGGAACTTCTTGGTGATATATATGTAAAAGGAGGAGTTGAGAGGAACTACACCAAGGCAATATAGTGGATATCACTTACTTCCAAGCAACAATTTTATTCGGCTTATAATGATATGGACTATTTCTACATGAAAGGTTATGGGGTGCGGAAGAAGTATGCCCCTACAAAAGATCGTTTGGAGAAGGGTGATGATAATGATGAGCTTCGTGGGTTCTCCAACATTGGGGGTATGTATCTGAATGAGCTTGGGGTTAAAAGGGACTTGAAGCTAGCCGGCAAGTATTTGACAGGGGCTGCTAATGGGGGTCAACGAGTAGTCTACACTTGTATATCCTCCATGCTGCAATTCAAACAGGAGACAAATCAGAGGGATACAGTTATAAAAGTGGTTAGCTTGCTGGAGGATATCTTTGCTATGCCCAAATATATAATCAAGGAGGCTTTTCAACCAGTATTTCTGGAAGTCCTAAAGATGTCTACTGATAGAACAACTGAAGTTCAGATGGGTGTCCTTGCAAAGGTTAAAGCTGGGTGTGCCTTATCCTCAATATGCTCTAAAAGAATCAAACTCATGGCTGAGAGACTTAGAGAGCAGTATCTACTTGTGAAAAGATATTGATGGTCCCGGATAGGGTAAAAGTCTAGAGGGGGGGGGGGGGGGTGAATAGACTTTTAAATCTTTTTCGAATTGTGAAAGTTTTCCCTCTAAAAGAGTTGATCAATAATCTTTTGAGAGATTTATAGAACCACAATGGAAGTCTTTACCCTTTATGTAATGTGTAACAACTTTCTATGATGGATGAAGTCTTTGCTTAATGGTGAGCAGTTGGCTAGGCAGGAACTGCTTAGTCAACTGCTTACGAAATACTTGGAGTATGATGAAGGTGCACTCAGAATCTTTCTTAGAGTGGGAAGAGCTTTCTGATGATGTACTGAGGTGGATTGATAATCAACCTTAAATGAGAGCAGTTGTCTCAGCAGTTGGGTGGAAACCAGGGAACTGCTGAGGCACCTGCTGAAGTAAAGGTGAAAGTATGGAAGGTTTGATTATATGGTGTTGCTCAGGATGATGTGGGCTTTCTGAAGATGTGCTTTGGACCAAGTAAGTAGAGGGTTTTACTTAGGCAGTGGTCTAGGCAGTTGAGTGATAGTGAGGGAACTGTTGAGGTACCTGCTGAGTTATCACCTTGAATCACAGAGATTATTTTGAACAGACTTCTTAGAGATAAAGATGTAAAGGTCTAGTAATGTCAAGATGTTTACAGGAAATACTTTTGTGTGAGCAGTGGGCTCAGCAATTGGGTAGTTCTTAAGAGACTGTTGAGGCAACTGCCATGCCTTAAGTAGTATTTTCCTGAAATCTTAATGAAACAGACCTTTTCGTTGTGATATAGTGAAGCTCTTGTATCTCAAAGAGAGTGAGTAATTAAGCAGTAGGATAAGCAGTTGGGTCAGTTAAGACAACTGCTTAGGATGCTGATGGCAAACTACAATCTTTATGTGAGAAGTGTTCAGTGTGTGCTTTGTTGATTGAAAATGAATCAACACACAGTATATCCTGGTTCATAGGTGGTGTAATCCTCCTACATCCAGTCCCATCCTATTTCAAATGGATTTCACTAATGTATTAAGCCCAATACACTTAGTGCCAATCTAGCCTTGACAACTCTGGCCTAGATTGAAGGTGTTTCACGAGGAGTACAACACCACTCCAAGCTACTCAATGCTTTAGGTTTTTCTCAATTGATCCAGTGGGGATCAAAAGATACTCCTGACCTATCTAACCACACTCAGGCCGGGAACAACTGTCCTCCTGAAGTGTTTACAACAATTTCTGATTTTGTTACAAGAAATTCTAACCTCCAACTAGGAACTAAACTTCTAGGATTTTAGCAATGAATATTTGATACTGAGAAGTTTAGTGAAGCAAGAGTCTAAGCAGAGAGTCGTGAATAGAATAACACTTTTTGCTCAAAGAAATATCTCTCTACTTAGTATGCTCAGGCTTGGTTAGAAACTTTCGTTTCTGCCTATATTTATAGGCTCTCCGGTTAATTGATCTTATCCGTTGGTTAGGATAGATCAATCTTGTGCGTTGAATTTGTTCGCAGAAGATAAACAAGTTGTTGTTTGTTTTCTTCTTCGGAGCGTATGGGTTTTGCTTGTCTTGCCCGCCTAGCCACTGTAGATTTCTTTTTAGACTTCAGACTGTGCGCCCATGCTGTAGGTCCATGTATCTGTCTTTCGCTGAAATATCTCTTTGTGTGCGTCTTCAATGCTCCGGACCCTGGTACGTATCTGGTATTAATAACTTTTGAGCTAAATAATATATGCCGGTAGGATTTAAATATCCTATTAAGGTAAGTAAAAATTACCTTATTGCATTTTTACTTTTCCGGTAATATTTCATTAGTCTCGAAAATTGTACATTTATTTTGTCACATTAATACTAGACTACAATGAGACAATGTACACGTGCTCAGTATAGTGACATCATCAAAATCTTATCAAAATTGGGTACTAACAATTTCCCCCTTTTTGATGATGCCAAAACTATACAACACAAGTAACAAACAATTTTATTGATTTTCTTTGAAGTTTTGTACATTGTTCACATTCTAGAGTACAATAGTTTATAGTCAGTTTCAGACTTTTTAATCTAGTCTACTCTTTCTTGTCTTCCTCTGATTTCTTCTTAGCCTCTTCCTTGGCCTTTGCTTTTTCAGCTTTTCTTCTACGGATTTCCATTTCCTTTTGTAGCCGCTTGTTCTTCATTCTGGTTTCAGCTCCTTTCTTGGCTGCTAGTGATCTTTTAGATGAGAGGCATGCTTGTGTTGTCCTTTCCCCCGTTTTGGCATCAACAGGGGTCTCACTTTCTCTGAAGAGTGCTTCTATTTCCGGGTCAGACTCAGGCTCCTTTTGCATTCTTCTTGCCGGATCTAGGCCATAGACCTTGATAGATAAGGCTTTGATGTAGTTGTTAATGTCCATCAGTTCTGTTCTTACCTCATCTTTGACCTCGTTTTCTAGCTGTTGTAGCCTTTGGGTGACTGACTCCAAGTTTTGGCCTAATTTCTGGAAGTTCCCTCCTTGCTCGAGGAAAGCTTCCTGAGTGGCTTTGTGAAGGTTATTGAGGTGCTT